AAAGTTGTAATTGAAAGTGATTTATGAAAATGAATTAATGAGGCAGTCATCTGTAACATAGTTTTTAACTGACATTATTTGCTTCAAGGTAACAATGAAAAAATAGTCATTGTGGGTTCTAATTTTGGTTTGCATTTGAAAGGTGACCTTTGATTAAGACGTATTTCCTCATTATTCCAAATTGAAAATGTGTATGTATACAAGCTTACAGATAATCTGGGAAAGATTTTTACTATAAAGTTTTGCCAAAGACCAGCTGTTAGAAAGGATGCTTAATGCTTTCTTTCCTGATTGTCAAAATTTTTTTTTGGGTGCTTCATTTATCTCATAAATAAACCTGAGTACCTGAAAATTACAAAATTCAATATTTGAACTTTGGATATGGTATTGTTTTATTGCAAATTTTGGTATTACAATGGAAATAGATGTAGGTGCCTCATATTTTTATATAATTCCAATTCCAGTTTTGAAATCTGGTTAAAAGTTCAGGTGAAAAATATGTTGAATTAAAAATCAAATTTCATAAGAAAACAAAATAAAATGGTTACTTGATCTTAGTTCTCAACACTCATTCATGGACATTATTTTCATGAGTATTTTGACTAGCATTTTCATGGCATCCAACTGAAAGGGAAATAGAATATTTATAGGAAAGCTCACATTCATTAGAAACTCTGTAAAAGACAGGTGTTAAACGATTTCTTGCTTATGGAGGTCTAGACCTCCTCTTGTCACCTTTTGTTGAGTCATTATGGGTAAAAAAAATCACCGCTGACAACACCGTATGATATATTGCTATCACCGTTTTGAACAGTCATGTACGTTTAAGTTTATGTATCTCAAATTTTCAATAACCATCTGTCTTTGAGATTGCTTTGCCCTTCAGCGTGATATGGTGCGTTTGATATTCAGTAGTTAGTAGAATGCGTTCTACTGATAAGAACACGCTTTACTACAGCCAGAACTGACTTTTACAACACTTAGAACTTCTTTTAGTGTGAATTGATCTGGTCATTCAGGGAGCAATTTGGCACCATTTTTTCTCAAAATTAAAATGTTTTCATGCTGAAATACATGTACAGACGATACAATTGTTATTTTAGAATATAAAATTTTTTTTTTCAAAATTTTATATATGGGAACTCTTTTTAATCTCAAAAATAAAATTTCGAAAACAAAAAACCAAGTATAGAATTCCTGACGAACAGAAAATTATATTGGTATGACATTATTTATTATATCATGATACCTTCCAGGAAGTGCTAGTGAATTATGTCACTGAGTTTTATGTTATATAAGAGTCTATTTATATTTGATTATATGTTAGTTTAGGATAATATTCCATGGTTTATTCATATTATGTTCACACTTTTAGCTAATATTATGTGTCTATAATGTCTTGTATAATAGCACTGATTGTTAATTGTTCCTTTTAACTGAATTATTTAGTCAGTGTATGAGGGTTGGTCAAAAAATGTCCAAAGGCCCATAGCTGAGATTGTGGACCAGTGAGAAACTTTACATACCAAACTAGGGTAATCATTGATATACTTCCTCATATGAACAGTTCATTAGCTGCTACCAATGTTTTGCCAAAATGTTGCTTTCGTTTTTGGGTTTCGTTGGCGGTTCGGATCGTTAGTACTTCATTTATTGTTCCAGTAAACAAGAAAGTTTAGTACCGAGAAATCAACATTTAAGGTGTATGGCAAGGATGCTCCTAGTTATTCAACCATCAAATGTTGGTCAGCACGGAGTGGAAAACACAATGCAGACAAATTGAGAGTGAACCATTAGGCATTCTTTCTGTTCTATATAAGAAGCATCCTTTTAAGAAGGTTGATTATGTGGGGGAAAAAACAGAAAAAGATTTCACAGCTTATAGTGGTCTTAAAACATTTTGACCAACCCTCGTAGAGGAAACAAATCAGCAACTGTAAAGGCAATCCAAAAAAAATGTGTTATAAATGCTATTTCCTTCTGTGGTGCCTCTCATGCTTTCTAACTTTCTGAAGACAGAAGACAGGAGTCATGGTGATTCTATGAATGACCTTAGACCGTAGGTCACCTCTATCGCTAACAAATTTTGATGAGTCAAGGGCAATAACTCAAATTCCGTTGATCGAAAAATTGTCAAATTCAATCTTGACTAATATCTCATCATTATAAATGATCATACCAAATTTCATTTGATGAAAACTGTAGTGCCTATTGTGTTCACAAACAAATTTTGACACGATTTTCATAAATCAAGGGTAATAACTAAAAAACCATTCATCAAAAGATAGTCAAATTCGAACTTGTCCAAGATCTCATCATTATAAATATTCACACCAAATTTCATTTAAATTAGATGAAAACTGTAGTGTGTTCACAACCAAATTTTGACATGTTTTTCATAAGTCAAGGGCAATAACTCAAAAACCGTTCATCGAAAGATCGTCAAATTGAACTTGTCCAAGATCTGATGAATATAAATGATCATACCAAATTTCATTCAAATCAGATAAAAACTGTTGTCTCTATTACGTTCACAAGCCAATTGTGGACGGACGGACCGACGGGCAAGGGCGACAACAACATACCACCATATTATAATGTGGGCGTATAAAAATATAACTCATATCGCTTTGTGGTTGAATGAATATTCCATGTAGATTGGTAATTATTCAGTATATAACGATATTCATAGAAATTTTTTCTATAATTATAAGATAAAAAATGATTAAAGGGTTATTAGTCCATATGATTATCATATTCTATTATTCTCTTTAATTATTCTTTTATTATATTATTTAATATTATTCAGTTTCTTTTAGGGTACAAATTGATATCTTTAACACCTACACTACAATGTGAACAAATATAATTTTTTCCCTTGACTGTGCATCTATCTGTAAATGTGAATGAATTTGAGACAATTTCGATTTTGATTGAACTCGATAGTTAAAGTTTGATTTTTTTGGGAGGGGGGGGTGGAGTTCGGATGTGTCTCTCTGAGGCAAAGCTCCTAGAGGCTGCTAGAGGCTCCTCTCAAGCCAACAGATTCCAGATGGCCTGGAATGAATTTTGACCATTTATTTGATTTTCTTAATTCAAAATAAGATCTTTTGCAAGCCCAATTGGCCCATCCCCCAAATTGCTGTTGTTTGGCCAATTCTTATGGGTATATAAGTCACCTTTTCACGAAAAATTAGCTTTCGAAATTCATCATTGTAATTTTACTAGCTAATAATGGCTATTAATTAAATTTTGATAACTACACTTCAGTACAAACTGCCTTTAAACTCTTTTGTGTCACCCGCCTTCCCCCTGAAATAATACAACTTTAAGGAATAATGTCAATTTATTACATAATTGACGTTCAAGAATAACAACGTACCTAAACTAACACTTGTGTAGGGGCTCAATATACAAACATGCCGCCGACTAAAAAGCTAACAATCCTAACTAAAGAAAGTTAAAAACACTTCAACAGCAGTGGTTAAGGGGAGGAGGGAGGTAAAACACGTTAAAAACAAACCAATGTCCAAAAGTATGGAAAAACAGTAAGTGTACTGACTGTGAACTTCTGGAATGACAAACCACATGACATTCCAGACAGTCAGTGCCACAAAATTCATTATCTGCAATAATGTTTATTTTCCAAGACCAAATTGCCTGCGGATTAAGAAATTTTGGATATCTTATTTAAGAAGATGAATGACCAACTCCTCACCTAATTGCAATCAAAAAGCTTCAGCATGCAGGACTCTCAAGTTGAGAAGGTTTACATTGGATAATCAAATTTCTTTGAAAAGTGTTATGGTTTTTTTCTGGGCCACCCGATATATGTGATCACTGCCATTGTGTCACTATTATTATTATCATTTAGTTGAGTAAAACCAGTCTGATAAACAAAAAAAGAAATATGATATTTAGGTAGCTGTAATAATTGATAAAGAATAAATAAAGGGGATATTGATTAATCAATATATTTATCACACATGTAATATTAAGAGGGTTTTTTTATATTGAACTTTATTATCTCTTCTCCAACTGCAAACTAAATAAAAAAAACTGCTCAACCTGAGCTATTGATAAGCTGTTTTTCCTTTTCCTTTTATGATTATAATAAAAATCAGCTACTTATTTTGCTCCTAAATAAAAAGTGGAAATTTTTACCCCATTCTCACCATTCTTTCGTTAATATGTTGCTTTACTTGAATTATTAATATTACACAATTTATTGTTTGTCACTTTCATCAATTTTCTCAAAAATTCTCTTGCTATGTCTTTAGAGCATTTCTGTTATTTCTCCCTTTTGACTTTTTAAGCTTTTGTATATGAAATTATTACTTATTCAATCTTGCAAGAGATGTATTTGATATGCATCAAGTCTTTTTTCTTTTTATGACTAGTCTGACTCTCTTTTATATCTTGTGACATTGTGCAAGCTTGTTTAATAATTTTGATTATATACTATGATTAATTAATTTAGTCCAGCCTAACATTCTGTTGGACTGATGGTGTTTAGTGTACTTCTTTCTCACTGCACAATTAGATTATTGAATTCGGTTATAACAGAATAGTCTGAATAAGTTCAATTGGATTCCGTTTAGTTTTGCTTTCGCACTGCAATTCAATTAGATAGCCGCCTTCGCACTGCTTTCTAGATAACTTTTTATTTTTAGTAACACGCCATGTCACAATTGACAGAATTGAAGTATATTGTTCATCATTGTAATAAATGAAGATATTAACAATATATTAATTTTCTGTTTCCTCTTCCGATGCATATTCATATTCATGTACTTTATTAATCCCATTCTTGTGATTTTCAATTAGTCCCTCCAACAGGAGACGCCATTTTTATACCTCACGCAATATTTTCTATCCTGATAACGTTTAGTTTTTCACTGCTAATTATCCGGATCATATCCAGGCAAAATCCACCTCTGGAGATAGATTTTTCTATCTAGATAACTTCTGGTTATAACTGAATAAGTTTATTTCCCAGTATGGAAGTTATTCCCATAGATAGAACTGAATTACGTTTACAGTGTGAAAGGGGTATTGCTCACAATTTGAACGTCCAGAGTTTGATCTCAAGAGATATAAGATTAATAAAATAAGACCCAATGTGCATTGCAGTACTGAAGGTTCTTTTCTTTTTTTCTGGTATTATTTATCTGCTTAGTTATCTAACAAGTTCTCTATCACATTCCCCTTCTAATGACGTTATATTTAACCAATCAAAGTAGGTCTTGAAGGGCCCATTTCTCAATAACAATTGTGGGAAAGGAAACCCAAAGTAGTGCAAAATATAGCCTCTTAGGGTTTTGCTATCCTCTGATACGTCCTTGTTTTGAAGAACATGTCCTGCATGACACACTTTGATTGGTTAAGGATAATGTCAAAAGACCTCATTGCACAAAACTTCTATGACCTAAAAATCCAGTTTAAATAGTGAATTCGATGGTTAATCTCTTCTCATATTGCCAAAAAAAAGTGACGTGTAATTGAAGACCTTCCTGAAATACAAACTGTCCAATTATGACGATCTCCTAGCAACTGCAGACATTTTCAACCTCCAACTGAGGCAAGAAAGTTTTAGGTGACACAATCTTAACTGATAATTATTGTTTAATCATGTCAATTGTCTATTCGACTTTCATCATCACTTCAGAAAGATGTGATTATTGACGAGTGTCACAAACTGTTGGAAAGGATTTGATATCCATGAACTAGTTGTATGACAAGGTCGATGTTCATTGTTTTGACATGTTAATTGTTTATCTTATTAATTGTTGGTCTTAAAAGAACCAAACTATAAATATAAATTTGATTACCTTTTGGCATAAAGAGATAAGAATATGTTAGCAGTAAGTTAAACATCTTGAGTCTCTAGGTACCATGAACCTATTGTTAAAGGTTTTTCAACTAGCTTGATGCAAAACTATGGGTACATTCCTGAAAGAAATGTAGCCTAATTTGTGCATGGATCAGGTGATGTATATATACAAATCATTTTATCAGGATATTTTTATGAAAGAACTGTTTTGATGGGCACTGACCCTTTCCCTGATTTCAAAGCTAATTACAATTCTTATATATTTTAGTCATGGAAGATACAACTCAGATTGCGTTGGTAGCCATCTGTTCTCTTGGTGCAGTCATGGGTTTGGTAATGGGAAGTGTTGTTTGCTCCTGGTGTTTTGGTAAAAAGAAAAATGAAGATGATAGTGAGGAAGAGGCTCTGGCCAGAAAAATCAAAGGTGGCAGCTCTTTAGATGAAGAGTCGAATGATCCGAGACTTAAATTTGACAATACTTCAGGACGAGGTCCTGGTTCACCTGCAATTACTCGAAAAACTATCAAGTTAGTTTAATTACTGTCATTTTGAAATATTTTTTATTCTTTTATTAATTCAGCTTTTGAGTATTAAATTCTAAAATTTTATATTTTGCATTTTTTAAGCTTATTTATAATACTAATAATGAGATGATTTGCTTATTTTACATTTTCCTTATAATCATCATCATTATCATCATCATCATCATCATTATCATCATTGCAGTATCAATCATCAACTGTTATCCTCATTCAGTAAGATGCCTCAATCTTGGTTGTGCTCGTACTTATATACCTTATTTTGTCTATTATTATTCTTCATTCATTCATTATCATTTTAATTATTAACCTTCACCTTATATTTTATCAGCTTGATATTACCTATTATTATTATCACCATTTTCTAACATCTTTCATACAGGACAATTACCAACTAACATATAATTACCATACAAACAAAACATCTTCACACTAAAACTACAAAAACTGTTAAATCTCATTTAGCATCTCTATCATCACATTCATTGATAATAAATCTGTTGATAATATTAACATGTAAATTAACAAGAAATTAGATACACCAACAGAGTCACCCAGAAAAAAGACAAAAAAACAGGCACTGGATGTAGATCAATCACAAGGAGAAAACCAATTTGCATCTACTGAATTGCAATCCATAAGTCATAATTAATCAGAGAAGGTAGACTTGAAATGAGTCAAATAACCATATTATATGTTATTAGCTTAAACCTGTCATATCTGACTGTATCATTTTAAGGAAGTTTTAGAATATCAGCATGACAGCTTCACCCAGAAAAAAGACAAACATTGAATATCAATCAAAAGATAATCAGCTTAGATTACTTATAAAGTAATCACTTAAATCTGTAATCTAAGATCTGTAAAGCTATCAAGGAAGATGTATGACATTGCTTGACTTTCAGAATATTTTGGCATTTAATCAGGTTTTTGGAAGTTGATTATACAATTGCAGTAATTGCATAAATAGCTGAAATCATTGAAATAAGATCTAAGGAAGCGCAGATTGAGATAGATGTAATTGATCTAGTTAAAAGCTATAGTTAATTAATAATTGTATTGAAGATAAAATAAAATTAATCCCTATGATAGCAGATAATTTGATGTGGTTTTACTCAAGCAATTTCAATACTTCCTCAATTATCTATCTATGATCACATCATGAATATAGCTGATGGCTCTGAGATTTCGCTTTTTCTAGCAATTATATTTCTTTTAAAAATCATGAATATAGTTTAATCTTGAAATTTAAACTTTAAGTATTTTAAATTGAATTGCAGTGCTATTTCATCCATTTGTATTTCTTTTAAACTCGAAATTTTGATTCATGGTTTGTTGACAGTTTATCTTTAAAGAAACATATAACCAGCAAAATTGCAATTCTTTTTTTATTGAACTAGACAAACTGTGACAGGTTGTTAAACTCAAAGTGATATTTCAAGTTGTTAGTAAATTTTAGTACCAGTACTGTGATTAATCAAGTATTTTTACAACTGATTTGCTTGATTCTGAACATCGTTGTTTTTTCGACTGTACACCTAAGTATTTAATGTTTCTATTTGTAGTCCTGTTTTTTTTTACACAACATTGTAATGAACAAATTTAAACAAATTTATATGCTAGTATAAAGTCTTACATTGGTGTGGAAATTGGAACATTCTAGATTATAGAAGTAAAGTTTGTAGGTATTCATGTAATGAGAAAAAGAAAAATGAAAAATGGTTTTCTTTTCTTATCTAGTATTAGAATGATTTAATCCATAAGGATATATCTAAATCAATTTTCTCAATTTCACTAGCTAGTTCTGCCTCATATTTTAAAGCTAAGATTCTTAGAATGGCTCTTAGGATATCTAGTTTCCAACACATGAGTTATAATATGACAGACTGGTTTGATTGTTGTATGAGTGGTTTGATTGTTGTGTGAGTTTTAATATGACAGACTGGTTTGATTGTTGTATGAGTTTTAATATGACAGACTGGTTTGATTGTTGTATGAGTGGTTTGATTGTTGTTTGAGTTATAATATGACAGACTGGTTTGATTGTTGTATGAGTGGTTTGATTGTTGTTTGAGTTATAATATGACAGACTGGTTTGATTGTTGTATGAGTGGTTTGATTGTTGTGTGAGTTTTAATATGACAGACTGGTTTGATTGTTGTATGAGTGGTTTGATTGTTGTGTGAGTTTTAATATGACAGACTGGTTTGATTGTTGTTTGAGTTATAATATAACAGACTGGTTTGATTGTTGTATGAGTGGTTTGATTGTTGTCTGGGTTTTAATATGACAGACTGGTTTGATTGTTGTTTGAGTTATAATATAACAGGCTGCTTTGATTGTTGTATGAGTGGTTTGATTGTTGTATGAGTGGTTTGATTGTTGTATGAGTGGTTTGATATTACAGACATATTACGTAACATATATTCATCAGGTCCATTTATTTTTCATCATTTGCTTTTAAACAAATAAAAATCTTTTTGTAAAATTTGACATTTGATGGATAGTTTCCTGAAATACTGATAGAATCATGTAAATACTGTTTTAAACTACATCAATATCTTTCCCACGTAAACTGATTATTAGATTTCAAACAGTTTAAAGTGAACAAATGCAATGCGAAATTGAATTAGAGTAAAAAATACATTATTCATCATATTGCTTAGAAAGATACAATACCCTGCCTTGTATTTTTTCAAGACTGCTAACTGAGGCCCTTGGGCCATTGCTAAAAAACAACTGTAGGGTTGCAGGAATTGAACATGGCGCAGCTTGAGAAGATACCTCAAAGACAAAATGTCCCTTATTACTATTGTATCATTTTGCCCATGAATTCTTATTCAATTTTATTTCATTTCTTTCACGTTGTCACTACCTACCAAGATTCCATTTTACACGGCAATTATTTAAATGGAATATTTAGACAAATATTATTTTTTGCTGGAATATGCTGTACAAATTGATCAATGTTTACTTTTCAGTTTTATATGATGAATTGTTCTTGAATATTATACATCTGCAATTTTTCTTCCACAATTATGCATGAGCAACTAAAATAGTAAAATTATGGTTAAAACTTTATTAATGCTATTTTACTGCACATCTCTTAGGTTAGAGCCCACTCTTTAGCCCACTCTTCCTGGAACATCAGACATGTTGTACTTCCTGGTCGGTCAGACATGTTGTACTTCCTGGTCGGTCAAACATGTTGTACTGCCTGGTCGGTCAAACATGTTGTACTTCCTGGTTGGTCAGACATGTTGTACTTCCTGGTTGGTCAGACATGGTGTACCTCCTGGTCGGTCAGACATGGTGTACTTCCTGGTCGGTCAAACATGGTGTACTTCCTGGTCGGTCAGACATGGTGTACTTCCTGGTCGGTCAGACATGGTGTACTTCCTGGTCGTTCAGACATGGTGTACTTCCTGGTCGGTCAGACATGGTTTACTTCCTGGTCAGTCAGACATGGTGTACTTCCTGGTCGGTCAGACATGTTGTAAAGAGGTTTTCTAGCCTTTATGTGTCTATCAAAGACATCACTGAATTCTTTTTCTCATTTTCCTGTACATACAGAGATTAAGATTACTGAAATTCTTTAATGAAACTATCTAGAGATTGAGTTTTATTCACAACAGTCATGTCAAAATGATGCATTGTGGGAATATAAGTGATACCATAATGCATCATTCTAACGTCATTTCACTTTATTTGACATAGTAGGTTCTGAAATAAAGATGCAGCAAATGTGTTAAAAACATATAAAATTCTTCTTTCCAATCTCCTAAACTTTTGAGGTCAAAACCACTGGTTGATTTTTAACCTTTTGCTTTTACCTGATGAAGAAGCTTTCTTTGGATGTTTGTTTTATCTTTTTATCTCAGTTTTCTGCTTGTGATTACTCAGTATACTAGATAAGATGTTGTGAAAATCAAACAGTAATTCAGAATAACTCGCCTTTAATTATTCATGCACATCAATTGTTTGAAGTTCTAGCAAGAAATCAATGTCTGAAATCAAAAGCAAATTTTCTTTTCAAATCTGAATTGAAAGAAACAAGTTTTTCTAGAAGATGAAATTTTCATTTGGTCATGCTTGATACTTGTATTGATTTATAGAAAAGATAAAGAAAATCTATTCAATATGTTTAAAGGGACAGGTAGGCCAATCTTTTTGATAGATCATACTTTAGTCTCAGAAACTAAAATTTTTTAGCTGAACTCACTGTTGAAAGTTGAGCCTTCAAATCCATGTGTCAAGAATTACCTGCGTTTGTTAAAATGACTACTCGTCAATTTAAGATTCTCTATTATATAGGAAAGACATATAGAAATAGTGAGTAAAATTCCTAGTTTGAAGTATTTTTAAAGGAATAATGTGTTTTTTGTACATTTCTAGTACCTACTTCTGAAAACTATTTACATCTATTTACAAGCCTAAAATCAACCCCCGCAAATGGCACATCTGCCCCTTTAAATGGAATAATATTCACATCACTGCAACCATTTATATTCCTCATTATAAATACACATTTGCTTAATACATATGGAATAACTAATATTGTTAATTTTTTCTATATTTAATACACACCAATAGGCTGATGCCTGCTGGACAAGATTGTGTTGGAGGTCATTTTTTTTTTAACCTATTAGCTTTTGAGTTCAAGTGCAATAATTTAAATTCCAGCATAATAAGTAATGTTCCAGGTGTATCTATAAGGGAAGGGCATGTTTTCCCTTACAATGCAACTGGGTTTGACAGCATCCCTTTTGAAGAGATAATGTTAACGGAATTTTCTTCTTTTGTTTTTGTATATATTTGTATACATCAAATTCAAATAAACCACTATTTGATCATCTCAATTCCGGAATGTTGTTTACCGATTGTTTTATCACCCAATTTTTATCCCAGCTTTAAGACAAAATGTTCTACACATGACCTTGTTATTTTGATAAGAACTAGTCTAACAACAGAACATACAGAGGATTGATTCTAGTTAAA